AAAGACATTTATGTCCATCACTACAAATATGCACGTGTTAAATTAAATTGAGCTACTATTAATTATTATTATTATTTTTTATTAATCATTATTGTTTGCCTTTCTTATTAAATTTTTCAAAGAATATCAAAATAATTTTGGTAGGATATTACTTTATTATATTAATAATAGATTACTCGATATATTAAACAATTTAATTACCCACTCTACCCTTTCATCCCTAACCTTGAGAAATAGGGATTTCTGCAACAAGAAACCAAATGCACGTTTGCCAGTGCTCAACTGTCGGCCGTTTTCTCTTCCCTCTCCGGCGCATCTCCCTCCTCTGTCAGGTAACTTAGGGTTTGCTTTTTCTCTTATTGTTATGGAGTTTTCTTATTGTTGTTGAATCTCGATTTTAGGTTGAATGTTATGTTAGTTGATTTTCCCTGTTGTACCCCAAAATTTACCCTCTTATTTATCAAATATTTTCTCACAAGATCTCCTTTGGTTCAAGACTGCACAAGGGTTGATCAGCTTAAGACACCTCCTTAAGCACTGATGACTGAAATTATGGTTTTAGATTGCACAAGGATAATTGAACTTTTAATGCCTCATATGACTTTCATGGATAATTATGGACCCCCAAGATTGCTCATGTCAAGTTTCAAGTCTTGGATCACATCTTTGCTCAGTCAATTGATCAGTTGACCTAAAAATTAATTGTATTGGGGAAAAAGTCAACTGCGGTCAATTTACAGTCAAACTTCATAATTTTTTATCCATATAAATATTATAAACTCATATGTATCATTTTATCAAGTTTGGACCATAATTCCTCAAGAAATTTGATCAGATCATCAAAAGGGCAAAATGGTCAAAATTAGGGTTTTGACTGAGAAAGGGCAATTTCTGATTTTTGACTTAGCAAATGGTTAATTGGTTTGAGGCATGATCTCAAGAGTTAAATTAAATCATTTTGACCTAATGGCATGACTCAAAACATCCCTCAAGATCAATTGATTGATAATTGATTTTCAGTCAACTCATCAAAAGTCAATTGTATACTAAAAAGTCAAACTTTGAATTTTTGGTCAAAATCAAGTGTCAAAGATCACAATTCATCAAAACATGCCAAAATATGAAACTTGCTCATCAAGAAATCAAAAAGTCAAGATTTCATTTTGAAAAGTCAAAGTTTTCAAACTTAGAATTTTTCTAAGTGTTGAAAACTTCATATTTTTTCATAACTTTGAGCCATTTTTTCACCATGATGCAAGATGATTCAAAAGAAACTTTCAACATGAAAGTTGTAGATCTCCATGAGATATAAAATATTTCTTTACACAACTTCTCCTATAAATTCTTGTATCTCAAGTTATTAATCTATGAAGTCATGGTCGTGAAACTAAAACACTTAGTGAAATTTTGAGCATTTTAGGTAAGGATTTTGACCTAACTTATGACCCAAGTTTCACATAATTACATTTGTATTTTCCAAAAGTGATTCAAAGAGGGGTTGTAGAGCACATTACAAGCTTTCCAAAATGTCCAATAACTCCTTGAGATCATTTGTGAGCAAGGAGAATCGAATTCCAGAAGTTGGGGTTTCAAGTTGTTTTGCAAGGCAAAATTTGTGATGCAACATGAACCAAATCCATAGCCATGCTGCACAATCTTGCTTTGCAGGCCTCTAAGCCTCAAGATCTCTCCTTAAACAGAAGATTACACTTGCTTTTGAGCTATTATCCATTTGATTCAAGCTTTATCCAAGATAATTTTCCATTAATGGCACAAAGGCACCATTGCCATTTACATAAAGCAAGCTTTATGCAAAGTCAACTTGCATTGAGCTTTGCACTTGTTCCTTCTACACAAACTTCCTCTACAAAGTTAGATAAACATGTTTAAAGTTGGTAACCACTCTAGATATCTTTGTACTATGCATTGAAACCATGTTTGTCAACCTTACTTCAAAAACAAGCCAAGAAGCCAAAATATGTGATCTTGTACTTCTGACCACCTCAAGTATCCAAACCTTTTCCATACATATACACAAGTCATTTGCAAGAAAACACACGCATACACAAGCCCTAAAACACACAAGAACTCAGAACTGAATCAAAAATCACCATTGTTGCACATTCTGACCAAACACTTGAAACTCACATTTCCCCCGTGCGTTTTCAAGCCTTTTGGTTCCTAAAGCTTCTAAACATCAAATACAACTCATCCCTGTCCCTGTTACACGACTGTAACTCCATTTACATCATCCTTCATAGCCAAAAATAGTGCACTACACATTGACTTCTCCAAGCCATTTCAGTCACTCTCAACTCAAGCTAACCATTGCATTAGCTTCCTGGGAACTTGAGGAAGCTAACCTGATCATTGCAGCACCTTGAATCAAGTTCATTTGCATTTCACGATTTCCAGTTTTGAGGTATTTTTCTTGAACTTCTATCTCATTACTTAGGCATTGTTAGGCTTGCATTTGTGAAGATAAAATATAGACATCATTGCCCTGAAGTTGTACATGTCCATAGATTTTATTTATATTGATTGAGCTAGGAGAATTTTAGGATTGAATCTTTGAAAATAATTAGGTCAGAATTTGGTATTTTCAAAAATTCTCATTCATACTTGATTTATAGTTTATGATATCTATATGGTTGAATTCGTATGAAAAAATGGAGCAACTTTCATGTTTGTATTTTCCATTTTTTTTGAGAAATGAATGAGATACAGGTGGTCTGGCTGGAGGTTGAAGATGAAGTGTATTCAGAACTTATTTTGTGTTATATATTTATTCTTTCACATAAGTTAACAGATGTACAGCCACCCAAGTGGTAAGGCAGCACACGTTATTGGTAGAGGTCATGGGTTTGAACCTCAGCGCGCTGCCTTTTGCATTTTTTCACATTTTTTGACATTTTGTGTTACAGGAAGCGCTTGGGCCTTCCCCTCTTGGGCTTTGTGTTATTTACTCAATCTAACCCCCCTGATTGTCATAACAACACAGTCCACTTCACATTTTTATTTATTTTTCCTGACCAAAAATCATGTTGGGCCCAAACTAAAAAACAAAATTGTTTTACTTCCATACACCTTAAATAGATTTCACACCCTCCTGACTTTTATTTTTATTTTATTTTCTTTATTATTATTTTGATTATTATTATTTTTATCAATAAAAATCCAAAAAAACATTTATATTTTTATTATTTATTTTTATTTAGTTTATTTTTTCTTCATAAAACTAAAAGAACAAAAACATTTTCTTTAATAAATTAATTTCCTTTTTTAAATACTTAGATAACAAATCTTAATTACTATTATATTATTTTCTTGTAAATTAAAATCAATTTAGAACTTAGGACTTTCATTTTATTTACTAGTTTAATTAAATTCACAAAAACCCTAAAAACTTTTTTTTTTCATTAATAAATTAATTTCTTTTATCTAACTTAATCTTAATTTTCTTATTTTTAGTTAATTATCCTATTTTAATTAATTAGGTAAAAAAACCCTTTTCATGAAAACCAAACAAAAATCATATTTCTTTTTTACATTTTATATTCTTGCATTTTATCTTCATTTTTGTACATTTATTCAAATTCAGTATGGTTGTAATAATTATTTAGATTTAATTTCTTGCAATTCTCCATTTGTAATTTGTACCCCCCCCTAAATGATGTAATAGCTTAGTATTTTTATTTTCCGTAATTTAAATGCTTTATATACAAATGCTAGTAATTAGGGTTTGTATGGAAAAATTAAAACTAATGCTTAGAAAACTCTAATTCAAGACAAATCAAGCATGAAAACCAATACACTTGCACACATACACTCTTAGGGTAAATCCACTTTGTTGCCTTACAAAAATGGCCATATTATGCATGTGAGGTATCTCAGCAAAAACAAGCAAAATACAAGATCATAGTCCCTCGATGACGCTTCGAATGTTACCTTATGATTGATCTTAGTCCCTAAAGAAAATGCTAAGATATCTTACAACATTGCTAATCATGGCTATACGATGACCCTTTCCCATCCCTTTTAAATCCAAAGATGGGATTACTTACCAAATCAATGGTAAGATAACAATGTGAAAGGAAAGAGAAAATGAACATGAAAGACTTTTAAGTAGGTAGAATGTTCCTAGTCGCTTGCTCAATTTCAAAACCAAAAACATCATTGTTATTTTCAAAATAAACACCAACACTTTCAAAACATCTTTCAAACTTGAAAACATTTTCAAAAGATCAAACACTTTGTATACATTCTTACGAACGAGAATCGTTACAAAGTTTTCCTAAACGATGACGCCTTTTCAAAATACTTTCAAAAACCATACAAAGCACATTTTTCAAACAAAAGCAAGTGATCTAGCAAGTAACTAAGAGCCCATGGAAAACCATGGATGAAAAGGGTGCTAATACCTTCCCTTTTCATAATCTACCCCCTGAACTCAAGAAAACATCTCAAAGATCTTTCCTGTTCTTTTCAGCCTTTCCTTTTGGATAAAATAAAAGTCGGTGATGACTCTTGCTAAACCGGAACATTTATGATCAAACGCAAAACAACCAAGTCAGTTCTCCCACCACGTTACATTCCCTCTTCACTGCAATAACTCCCTCAGCATTATAGAACCCAATAGAACTTGAAATTTATCCTTTTGAGTTGAAACTTTGAGATGTTTTAAAGGTGACATGGGAAAAATCATATATCGGACAATCAAATACATGGTTATAGTCTTATTATAGTTAGAAATAGCCCAATACTGCCAGAAAATGGCAAACAAGGGTACATAAGCTTGACTAATATAATACTTTACTGCTTCAAGATTCTTAAGCATGGTTTTTATTCAAGTTAAAAAAAAAGACCACTACCTTCAATTCATTATAGTAGATTCTTTCTTTCACCTAAATTCCTAGAGAATTTAAACCATCAATTTACTACTTTTTATAACGATATTTGTTGGTAATGTTATTTTAGAGGGTTGCAACGAACTCACAACTATGGAAAATATTATAGTTGCTGCTGCTGGGGCTGCAACAACAATATCTACATATCCATTATGGGTTGTTAAGATAAAACTCCAAGTGAGTTAATTCTTTTCATGTCTATAATCTTAGTAAAATATATGTAATCTCACATCATGGCCTTCATCTTCTGCAACTTTATCATCTTTTCTATTGGAAAAGGTTAATGTTAAGGTTGGGAAATAAATTACATCTTATTAGATTCCCCCTCTAATATATTTTAGCTCAGGCAGTTCAAATATAACGTGTCTGTGCGTGATGCACCTGGAAAACCAGTCGTCACCAAAACTGACAGTTCCAATCCTTGGTGGGCATTATTAGAAAATGCTGTCTAAAAGGCCGGTGGGAAACTTGGAAAGCCAAAATCCTGCATCCACAGATGCATGCTATTTCTGCAATCTTAGACTGCCAGCTATTGGATTCTCACCTGTGGAAAACACTCATGTTCTACTCCATGACCATAATGAGGTGATTCTTATAATATATTTGTGCTTATTTAATTATTTGACGTCGTGCTTGCATGCCTATAGATCACGTCACTTTCCGTGCGATTATATATTTGATTTGCGTTGACACTTTTTGCCCCTTAAGTTTTTTAAGTTGTATCCTAATGTCATGCACCTTAGTTTAGAGTTTAACTTCGACTTATGTGTTGTTTCTTCTTTGTGTAGTATCTCGACAAAGATGAATACTTGAAAGGAATCAAAATATATGAGTCAATTATTAAGGCATATGCATCCTATGATGAACATGTAAAAGATGAATTATGAACATCACATATTCAATTTGATTGCAAACAGTTATCCTTGGTTACAAAGTCAGCTTATTTTATTTAGTTACAATATCCAAAACATGAAATAATTGAAATGTAGAATGGAGAATATGAACTGAATTATGCAATCAATGAGTACAAAAAAGTGACGTCGAGAATCAAATGGAATTCCATATTATATCACTTCTCTTATGGTTTACTATTAAACAAAGTCACAAAAAGGGGCCTCAACTCTAAAAGCTTCATAATTGTCATGTAGCAGATCAAGAAATGTGCATAAATGGTTCAGAGAAATAATTAAATAGTGGCCACAAACGTAATATATGAGAAGTTTCTACGAGCTGGAATTTGAATATTGGTGTTATACTTCTTAAAGTCAACGAGTCTGTTAGCAAAAACTTGAGGTATGCCGGTTACCACAATAATGACAAACATCATATCTTGTCGTTGGTAAGAGTAGAGTTGACCGCCAAGAAAATATCCATGTTCGTTATTCCTTTATACTGTGAATATCTTTATATCATATATATTGTCATAACTAAAAATATGTTAACATGGAGATTTGGTCCATGTTCTGTTCAAGACCATCATGTCACATGTTATGTTATTTATTTACTTTTGCTAATCGTCCATTTACAATTCATGTTGGTGGAATTCATATCTTTTAGTGTGGAACTTTATAGATACCTTTTTGTTTACTTTTATGAAAAATGAATCTTCTTTTTATACTTTATGTAAGCTCTTTTGTTTATACAATTATCACAAGGTTGTGTTTCTATTTGTTTACTTGATTTGAGCTTTCGTCGACATGGTTATTATTAGGATGAAGTTGTGAAGCTATCGCCCCATGCTCATGCCATTAGAGACTTAGAACATGAAGAGCTATAGAGTTTTTTCTATGGCATGTCTCCTTTACAGGTGATTTAATATAACTTGGTACTTTTTGTATGATGAATTATCGTCGGTCTATTGCAATCGTTAAAATTGATGGAATTGATTTTAATTTACAGTTTATACTGATGGTTGCTGCAAGTTCAGTGGGAGAGGAACTCTTCTATAGAGTTGCAGTTCAAGTTTGTTTCAGAACTTCTATGCCTGAACTTTATCGTATTTGCCTAGAGATGTTTGAGAAATATAGTAAGATTTGCTTCAAATTTGTATTGTATGTTTAAAACAATCTATATTGAAATTCTTATTGGAATTCTACAAGGGTCACTGGCTGATATATTTTTATGAGGCAATAATCTTATTCAAGATGTACGAGGAATGGCGTCTTAGGTACATCTACCATTTTCTTTATGTTTCAAATAATTGAAACTAAGTTTCATTTTGGTAACTAACTCGCAATTTATACAGTAATATGCAGACAAGAGTTATACTACCATTTGTTATATTTGCTTAAGCACTTGCATCTGTACTTACCGTTATCCTTATTAGTTCTCTCTATTGCGTCGTTGCCTCTCCTAAAGATTACTTTTTCGTATATCCCATTTTACATTTTCTCTTTTATGTAACTGTTTTTTTTCCAAGTTTGTTCTCAGCCTGATTAATAATAACCATCTTTTTTCTCGCGCTCTTACATATCCTATCTATATTGTTGCGCCAGTTTTACAATCTCCCGCAAGTCGTCAAGATTTGAAAAAGATCTTCGAAGGTTCTATTTTTTCTTCTCAAACTGTTGAATATTATATTCACTTCATATCTATGTTCCAGTTATTCATCCATAGAATTGTGTTATATGTAAAATAAAGTCTCGAGTAATTATATATGTCGTCTTGATACCTGCACATTTTTGTGCTTGTGATACATCAACCCGATAATCTATTTCATTTTGGTTTGCAGCCTGGTATGAGAAAAAACAAATGACGAAAATATATTCACCACTTCTGGAAGGACTATTGGCTCTCTACCTCCGTTTCAAGTGGATCCAAGTAATGATTTCATCATTGGAAAATATTCATTATCTTTTGTCTATGATTTCTAAGCAACTAAACTAATTTGTGTTACTTGACAGGCAAATAATATTCTTTCTCCCATTATCACACATGAAATTTACTCTACTGTTATAATAGGACATGTCATTTGAAAGATACACGGAAAACTACGACAAAGAATCCAACAACTCAAATCAGAAGAAAGAAATTCCAACTAGATTTTGAAATTTCATCCATGACTGATTTTTGTGGAAAATCTGTATATGTATTAGAGGTGTTAATAATGTAAAGAGAATATGTGCATACTTATATGTTAGTTGAGTTCTCATACCTCTAGAATATGCAAAGTTTTGATTACAAGATTCTCTAATTGAGTCATTAGTTTCTGTAATAAAAATTGGAGTAATCTAAAAGTTGTGTTAATTTAATAAAACAACATATCAATTTTCTCAACTCTCAACATGACTTCTAATGTACATAATCATATTATATTGTTGAAACACTTTTAGAAATAAGAGTGGTTTAAATCTCATCTCTAAAATGAATTTAAATCCACCTATCACTCTCTTCACTAAATTGAACCTCACAAAGAAAAAAACTGAGATAAAAAATCCTTCTCAAATGAATTAAGATCTTTTCGATCTAAAATCTTACAATCTTTCCTTCCTCTTTGTCTCACCAAAACAATCTCCTTTTGAACTTGAATTTAAGAAATAGAAAAGAGACTTAGAGTCTCACTTTATGAGTTTGAACATCCTTTTTATGAAATTTTAGTCTTTAAAATTTGCAGTTTGCAAGATTAATTAAACTAACAATAATTCTTGTCAATATTGCCTCACGATCATTTTCATTGACGTGTCATTCATGATTCATAATATTTGTTATTATTATTAATATTATTATTATTAATACTAATATTATTTATTATTATTATTATTATTATTAATAATAATAATTAATTATATTTAATTTATTGATTCTAATTTTAAACTCATAATAATAATTCAATAAAGTAACAAAAGTTGTGGTCTCTCCCTGAAAAGCCCTAATTGGCTCCTTCCCAACATTCACACAATCTTTCAGAGAAATCACAAGAATTCAGAACTCGATTCCTCGACTCAACTCGCTCTCTCTTTCCCTCTCCGCCGCATCTCCCTCGACTCAACTCGCTCTCTCTTTCCCTCTCCGCCGCATCTCCCTCGACTCAACTCGCTCTCTCTTTCCCTCTCCGCCGCATCTCCCTCCTCTGTTAGGTGACTTAGGTTTGTTTGTTTATTTTTCTTCCAATTGTTAGCCCTAATCTGTGTAACCGTTTGATTTTGATTTCGATTCGTTTACAGAAGAATCTTAGATGCGATTGAATAGTTATTCTTCAACACTACTGTTTCGATTCATTTTTTTAATCTTTTGTTACACTGTTTTCAGCTTATTTACACAATCGCGTTTGTAACCTGTTTATACCATTAAGAATTCATATATTTTAAGGATTGCTTATTAATTTTGTATACTTTATGGACTAAATTGATGATTTATTCTAATTTAAATTGAACAAACACGTGACAGAGAAAGAACCCTGATGTAAAGTAATGTCAATTTCCAAACATAGAGTAACGTAAATAATCTATTCAACAAACTTAACAATCTAGTTAACATAGGAGATAGCATTTTACTTCCCCTCTCTGTACTGCGTGAGTACGCCATTGCAAATGATAATTACTTCACTGCAGAGCTGAACTTCACGTCGACTTCACGTCGCACCGAGATTCCTAATTAGAAAAGCACGATTGAGAAAATAGTTCAGTAATATAACCTTCACAATCTAAATTTTATAGAAATAGCTTAAACATGAGTATTTATGCTATGAACTCATTTATGTGTTTGTTCAGTTTGGATGTTACATAGAATGTTGCTTCATTTTTTTCTATAACAAACTTTCTATCTATTAAGCATCACCTAATTGAACTTAAACATTATTGTAGGTAAGTACTAAGGTTGAAGTGTAGCTATTGGTGGCTTAAACAATGGGATCTAACTCATTGAAGGATTATCTTAAGAGATATGAGAGTAACCCTGAAGAAGACAAGAAAAAGAAGAAGAGAAAGAAGAAAACTCTACCACAAGCAACTGGTTTGTTAGTTGTAGATGAAGACCCAGCTTGGCAGAAACCCATAGATCTGGTAGAAGAAGATGATGAGAACTTGTCAGGTAAATAATATAGACAACATACTGTGTTTGGTTTCAGTGTAATTCAATTTACGATATTTGGCTTCCAATAATATATATTTTTTTTAAGGAAGTGTTATATTGTAGTATGATATTTATCCACGGTAACCTTATTTTATTTGTCAATGTAGATGGGGAGAAGCCAATAGTTGATGAAGACATTGAAGTAAAGCGTATGAAGAGGCTTGAGCAGCTCAAGGCCAGACGATCTTATCATGATATATCTGAGGATGGAAGTGGTTGGGTTCCACTTTCTTCCAAATCTGAAAACCTCAGCGACTCTAATAGAATCAATGCCGATTTATCCCCTTCGTGCCGGCAGTTGAAGCGCAATGACACTCCATCACCTGAACGTGACTCACAGCCTGCACTTTTTGAGGGACCGAGCCCTGATTTATCTCCTCCTCGTAAACGAAGGGATAGTGACATGTCACCTCCTCGACGGAAACATGTTTCTAATCCGAGTCCAGATATTTCCCCCCCTCGCCGTAGTAGTCGTCAAACATTTGAATACAATGGGAGAAAAAAATATGACACTCCTGATTTGGAAGATCTTTCTCCTCCTAGACGAGGTCGACATGATTCTCCCTCTCAAGATACTTTACATGGATCAATGTCATCTGATCTTTCACCACTGAGGAAACGCCAACATAGTGGTGCAAGATCAAATTTATCTGATGTTTCTCATCGTGGTTCACATCCATCTTTGGACCGTGACCTCTCTCCACCAAGGAAGAATGGGAAGGAGCTGTCCATTCCATCATCTGTTAATGAAAAAACAGGTTTGATTTTTGGTAAAGATATCAGAAAAGAGATTGACAGAAAGAAGAAGGATGATTTGTTGATGTAAGTAAATGTTCAACTATTTTATGATTTTTTCAAAACCACATATTCTTATGTACTGGATGAATTCTCTTTAATACTCATACTTAATGCCGTAATCCTGTGATTCTGTTTTATTTTCTTGTTTAGTGCTGAAATGAACAGGTTTTTTAGGTGGTTATGGCTACATTTAAATAGGTGTTTTTCTGGTGTGAATGATGTAAGAGTAATCCTTGCTAAGTCTCACGAGTCATCAGTTTATAGTTACAATTTGCAGCATACACAATTAAATTCCATACTTATAGGGATTGCTAAACTAAAAACAAGTTTGCGATGTGTTCTAGATTCTATTTGCAAAAGATATATAGACTAAATATCAACAGGAGCAACATCTAAATTAGCTCCTTTAATTTTTGAAAAAGAGGTACAACTAAAGCAATCACATTTCCAAGCTGTAATTCATTCATAAAGTTTGTTTCCTTTTCTTGTTAGTTGTTTATAACTGGTTTACTGTGACATGTACTAATCCTAATTTTTTCTGTTCAACTATGAATATTATAATTCATTAATCAAGAAATACAAAGCCAATAAAAATATACATGTCAAGAACTAATTGTTCTAAATCTTAAGATATCAAGTAGAGTTTCCAGAATAGATTTATCGCTAATATGCCCAATAAAATGTTGTTTTGAGTATCTATTCCTTTATGCAGACTTAAACAGATGGACCCTGTCATCAGTGGGCGTGGTGCTGAACCTGTATTTCGTGACAAAGGTAAAGGAGTTGAAGTTAATTTTTAGCTTATGTTTGTCCAATCTACTGGACGCTATGCTTTTCTACATCAAGTTAATTTTTAGTTTCAGTAAAAATATATGTACACCTTTTCTTTGGGTCAAGCTGAATTTTGCAATAACTTGAATTATTGAATCAACCTGTATTTTGCAGGAGTAGTCATTACCAAAGAGGAATACTTAAAGTCAAAACAGAAAGTAGAAGAAAAGCCCAAGGTATGTTGGGTACTGCATATTCCACTATGTTTATTATCTGGTTGTAGCTTTCTATATGCAATGGGCTGCATATTATATAGGTGCAAAATATGAATATTCTTGGCTTAATTACATTTTTCCAGTGTTTTTAGTCTCTCTATTAAAATTTAATCAAATATGGACACATCATCCATTTTCTTTCACTTTAAATCTCTTAAATTCTCTTTTTTTTAATCAAAATATTTAGCGCTAGATGATGAATTTGATATATAAAATAAGTTAGCTTTTCTATGTACACACGTGTTTGCTGAAAGATGATATTATTAATGCTGAAAGATAATTGCATCTAGAGGATAAGAAACCATCTATATTTGTTTAGTCATTTCGTTCCTATGCTGTAACTGAGGTATGAAAGTTATTTGTGTAGATGCTTAACGTTGATGTTATTCATGTTTTCCTAAGAAAAATGGCAAGTTGAGTTATTGGCTATCTTCTTGGTTTTTAGGAGATTGAAATAGAATGGGGAAAGGGATTGGCTCAAAAGCGGGAAGCTGAGGCTAAGCAAAAGGAATTAGAAGTCGAGAAGGAAAAGCCTTTTGCGCGGACCAGGTATACAGAAAGGAACTAGTATTGTGGACTGTCTTAAATTTGTTCTAATTACTGCATTAACTTATTACTTTATTCTTGAGTGTCGTGTAGTTAATCTCTACAAGTACTCTGTTCTCTTTGAAGGTTTCTTTTTCATTCTCTTGTCCCTATCTCTTATATTGCATTTGTTGTTTTCTTATAGAGATGATCCTGAGCTTGACAAATCGTTGAAGGAGAGGATAAGATGGGGTGATCCTATGGCACATCTTGTAAAGGTAATGTTATGCAACTGTTACTTGTGGCCACTTCCGATGAAAGAAATTGGTCTGTTCTGATGACTAAAATGTTTTTTTTCGTGTCAATTAACGTTTGTACAGAAGAAATATCCAGAGCCTGTTCTGCCGAACTTGGGGGATAGCGATAAAATGAGGGCATCTGGTTTTGTTGTCCCTCAAGATATTCCAGATCACAGCTGGTTGAAGAGAGGTTTAGATGCTGCTACTAATCGGTATGGGATTAGGCCGGGACGACATTGGGATGGTGTTGATCGTAGTAATGGTTAGTTTCATATTAGCAGTATTTTCTAAACCTGTATTTTATTTTCACATTCCTCTTAGAAAGATTGGAAAACTGTTCTAAGTTACTGACTTAAGCTCTTTCCCTGTTTGTAGGATTCGAGAAGGGAATGTTCAAGAGAACAAACGAGAGACAAGCTAAAGATAAAGAGGCTTATCTTTGGTCTGTCTCTGATATGTGAAAACTAACATTATAACCAAAAAATTACACAAATGGTGGTTGATGATGATATGCAAATCTCCCAAGTATTCAAGGAACAACATTGGGAGGAGCATGTTTGTGAAATTGTAATGATGTGAATTTGGAGGATTTATTGTTGAATATGGCCAAAGATTGTCCAATGGGAAAGGCTCTTGGTTCCATCACTCTAGAACTAGATAAATTAAAAGCAGCAGTTTATCTTCAATGTATAGCTAGCTAGTCTTATTCAAATTCAGCAGAAAAATGAGGATAAATTTTGTCATATAGAAAGTGAATATATTGGATGGGCCAAACTTATTTGTGATATTGTCATGTTTTTTTGAAAGTAAATTTGACTAGTTTAATTGTTTAGTTGAAAGTGAATTTTTTTTTGGACATTTCTTATTCCACCCCATGCATAAAAGAAGGACCTTTTGAAATTTTGAAAATGCCCTTCAAAAATCGAAAATGCATTTCTGGTTTGTATTATATTTTATAAAATCAGGTCAAATGAGGTTTCACTTTTCAAAATGTAAAAAATAAAATTGGAGATATATTTTCGATTATGTATCGGTATTATGTTTTCGGTTTTTAGAACGAAAAAATTGATTTTTCTGTCACCTTGTCACTTCGTACATAATCAGAAGTATATTTTTCGGTATTATAGAAAATTCATAATGTTTAAAACAGTAACCGACATTGTCAATTTTTTATCAACCATTTCTTCTTTTCACAAAACCGATCAAAAATCTTTTCATTCTTAATCTATTTTATGTTACTAATATTTTTAAATTATTTTATCTTACTAATATTTTTAATTTGAAGATATTTTTAATTTAAGATGTAAATTTGTTAAGATAATATATGAAAAAGTGAACTATATATTATTGAGTGATATATTATTATAAATTTTTCATTCAAGGCCTATTTTGATATTATAATTATTTGTATATTAAATATTTTTAAATATTCACATAATAATCAAAATATGAATTTTCTATAAATGTCCCTAATGCTATTTAATGATAAATTTTAAAGGTATGACAAAATGAAGGTTACTTATTTTAAAGTTATATGTTTTATGGTGTAACCACACTATATTTGAGTAGATTAACCACTATTTGAAAATGAGTCCATTCTTAATATTAATATTAATTAATTATATTTAATTTATTGATTCTAATTTTAAACTCATAATAATAATTCAATAAAATAACAAAAGTTGTGGTCTCTCCCTGAAAAGCCCTAATTGGCTCCTTCCCAACATTCACACAATCTTTCAGAGAAATCACAAGAATTCAGAACTCGATTCCTCGACTCAACTCGCTCTCTCTTTCCCTCTCCGCCGCATCTCCCTCGACTCAACTCGCTCTCTCTTTCCCTCTCCGCCGCATCTCCCTCGACTCAACTCGCTCTCTCTTTCCCTCTCCGCCGCATCTCCCTCGACTCAACTCGCTCTCTCTTTCCCTCTCCGCCGCATCTCCCTCCTCTGTTAGGTAACTTAGGTTTGTTTGTTTATTTTTCTTCCAATTGTTAGCCCTAATCCGTGTAACCGTTTGATTTTGATTTCGATTCGTTTACAGAAGAATTTTAGATGCGATTGAATAGTTATTCTTCAACACTACTGTTTCGATTGATTTTTTTATCTTTTGTTACACTGTCTGACAGAACTGTCAAAACACATAAGCTGTTTTCAGCTTATTTACACAATCGCGTTTGTAACCTGTTTATACCTTATATGAAAAACAACTCTAACTGTATTTTATCTTTTATTATAGAAATAGCTTACACATAACTGTTTATCCTATAAGCGCCAAATTAAAGCTTTGTTTGCTAAAAATAGTTGTTGACTGATATCTTATAACTGATGTCTGATAGCTTATAACTAATTATTGATAACTAACAGTTTATAGCTTATAGCTAATTATTGATGACCGATAGCTTATAAGTTAATTGAATTGTTCGCTAAAATTAGCTATTCAACTTTGGTATTCTTTGCATTTAATACATAATTATTTTATTTTAAATTTAAATAAATTATAATGGGTAAAAGTAGATTGTAGTTAAAAAATAAGGGTAAGTGAAAGAAAAATATGATAAGTTATAAGCTAAAATGTTATTTGAAATAGTGTCTGAAAAATAAGCTATAAGTTAATAAAATAAGCAATAAATTTGTCATGAAAAGACCATTGTCAAACTGGTCTTCTATTGTCATATGAGTTTATAAGCTATAAGCTCAAAATATGCCATGCGCCTAAGTTGTCTATCCAAAATATGACTTTGATCCTTATTTGAAGTTTTAATTTGTTTTCATTGTCCGTTGGTGTTTTTTATTTTATGTTGTAAACTTTACATTATTATGGATTAATATATTGCAGGTAGTATTTTTGAAGAGATCATTTATAAACTGAGAATACAAACAATAGCGTCAAATGGCACTGGTTGTAATTTGTGGTCAACCATGCAGTGGAAAATCTAAAGCTGCATTAAGTCTAGCTGAAGCTCTTAAACAGTCACCAGAGTTGAAACATCAAGTGAGAATCATCGATGAAGCTTGTTTTCATCTCGATCGGAATCAAAGTTATGCGAATATGCCATCGGAGAAGAATTTAAGAGGAGTTCTTAGGTCAGAAGTCGATAGGTCTCTGTCAAAAGATACTATTATTATTGTTGATTCTTTGAATAGCATTAAGGGTTATCGATACGAGCTATGGTGTTTGGCTCGTGCTGCGGGGATAAGATACTGTGTTGTTTATTGTGATGTTGAAGATAATGATTGTAGAAAATGGAATCAAGAGCGTAGGGAGAATGGTGAAGATGGTTACGATGATGTAATATTTGAAGATTTGGTGAGGAGGTTTGAGAAACCGGAGAGAAGAAACCGGTGGGATTCGCCTTTGTTTGAGTTGAGATCTTCTGATTTTGGTTCTATTGTAGATGATGTTGTTTCTTATATTACCAAAAAAGTGGACTCGAAAACACGTGATGTGAAGATATTGCAACCGACAATTGCAACTCAAACTTCGCGTTTTTCTGATGCGAATTCTCTCTATGAGCTGGATAAAGCAACGCAAGAGGTTACTAATGCTATAGCAGAAGCGCAATCTCGCGATCTTGGTATGTTATCGGCTAATGGGATTTCTATAGGGAAAGATTTGCCTCCGATTAATCTTTCAAGATCGGTTGGGTTGCCTGAGCTTCGTAGGTTGCGGCGTACGTTCATGAAATTAACAGGGCAAACAAGTTTGAGTGGGAGAGCTCCTCCTTCTGATTCTGATAGTGCTAAAAGGATGTTTATTGATTACTTGAATAGGGAGCTTGGAACTTCATGAAGAAAAGTATGTTTAGTATTCTTTTTTTTTGAAAGAATGTTGTAGTATTCTTATAACTGAGTTTATATGCATGCTTGTTTTACGAAATATGAGACGTTTCATTATACTATTGATTGTTTTTCCCCAACCCAAGCTGTGATGTAAAGATGATAATAACACTTGGTTCTTCGCTCATCAGATTCAGAACATGTCCTTACTAATTAACATCTTGTGGTTTTTCCTTGAGAAAGATGATTTGACTGATATGCATGGTCACCAAGTTATATGCTAAAATGTCTGATTTTATATGTATAATAATTTGAGTTATATCCTTGTTTGAGCTTGAGCTTGATCCTGACTGAATCTGATTTCAGGCTATGAGATGGTATTATAACTTGGAGAATGTCAACGTGATTTTGTGTATTACACTAGTCCAAATCAAACTCAATCTCAGCAGTTAAATACTGATTTTGTGATACTGAAAGAGAAACACTTTTTTTAACATTTTGGTTTGCTTTTTTTAGATTAGCAAGCATATAAATGTTCTGAAGCAGTGAAGAGACTTGCATTGCATGGTCTTTTGTATGTAGAGACATATCAACATGATTTTCTAAGCAGTGGAGCCTGAAGGGCAGGGAATGGTTAGCCTACTCTCTCATTTTTCAGAGGATGTTTTGTTTGCCAAGACAAAGCACTCTCAAGTTAGGTTGGTCTTTCAGGTCCTTCATTAGTCTTGTGGGATCTTCTGGGTGGGCATCAACAAGTCACAACCCTTTAATTTTAGGGCATTACTTTTCGCGCCCTTAGTGGTTCTTGCACAGTTTTGTGGAAAAAAAAATTGTCTTTTTAATTTGGATATGCACTTTCAGATATAAATTATATCCTTTGGACAAAATTATAAGCAACAAAAAGTTTTTTTAGATTTATTGCATAATTGATGTATCTAGTATAAAATAATGACTAAATGTATAATTTATTCAATGAATCTAAAAAAATTTTTGTTTATAAATGTGTTCGGAGGATATACATTCTTTCGTTAGTGAATCACATCTTCATTTTGTCAAAAACAATGACTATAAGAAATAGTTTGTCTAGCCAAACATTTACTTCAAAATATATCAATTTATTTAAATACATCTTCCTTAAAGTTTGTGGAATAACCATCTATAATGCTACCACCAAATCTTCAAAAGGAGTTGAAACCAAAAGGAGTTGAAACCACAGTGAAGCCTACTAGTTTCATTTTGTCTCACCTTTCAAAAGAAAAAGAACTTAAAGGTAGTGGTGAAAGCAAAATCTACTGCAAGCATGAAAACTGCATATGCTGCCAAGTAGTCTCCTGCACTTTCTTCTCAAAATGCCAAATCTCTATGCTTTTGAACATCTAAAGAACACAAAAGCAAATCATTTTCGGATTTATACTTCATAGTCAGTTTATAGTCCATTTTGTTATAACTTGATTTATTTTGGAAGGATACCTTGTAAAAATATTATGTTGGTTAAATATCGAACGAATGAAACTAATAATCCTGAAAAATTATCATGCCACATGAAAATACCGATATAACTTGATATCTTTAAGGACATTGTCATTTCAACAACATTATTATTACATATTATATTTTCAATATTCCCTACGGAAGAGTACCTTGTAAAAATATTGGACTGAATACAAAAATAATACAAAAGCAAAAATATTTTTTTACAGAAGTATATTTTCGAATTTATTTTGGAAGTATATTTTTAAATTTATTCTTAAAGTATATTTCTGAACTATTTTTTGATAAAAAGTGTGCATTGTTGAAAATAATAAGTCAAGTGTAAGTTGCAGTCCCACATTAATTATAAATGTGAAGAGTTGAACATTTATAAGTGGAAGAACTCATACGCTTATCACCTTAAAGTTTTGGGTGAATATGTGGTGTCTATCACTTATGTGTTGCTCTTGACCCATTATTGACGCTCCTTCTCATGAACTAACAATAAAATACCTAAAAAAGTGGTGTCTCGATCCCCCTTATGAACTAACAAATGGTATCGTGTGTGAGACACTTTTAGTTTGAAGAGAAATAGAAAATAATATAAGAAATAAGGATTCTATTATGTATTTGAATTGTATTGTACAAAATAAAAATACACACTATGACTATTTATATACAACCCTAATTGAGTTTGGGCTTACACAACTTGGATTATATTTAAATATTAGATCTAATCAAATCTAATATTTCAACACACCCCCTTAATCTAAGTTGTCAAACATACTTAAAAATAGTCAATCTGAACTATTTCTAATTTCTTTCTTAAATTCAGAAATTTGTCGATCTTTATTTCTTTGGTGAAAATGTCGGTCAACAGTGTTTCACTTGAGCAATGCCTAACTTCAAGTTCACTTCGATTTACCTTTTCCCTCACGAAGTGAAATCTAACTTCGATATATTTACTTCTTCCATGCAGAACTACTGGATTTTTTATCAGATTTATGACTGACTTGTTGTCGATTCGTAATACAAGATATTTCTTCACTTTGACAAATATTTCTTCATACATATCTGATCTAAATTGCTTGACATGCAACATATGATCCTACTATATTTTTAGCTTCACACGATGATAATTCTATAACAGATTGCTTCTTCGAACACCATGAAATTGGAGCACCAAATATTTGAAAGAAATATCCAGTTGTGCTTCTTCGATCTTCCTTATCTCCACACTATTTAACATCTGAAAAATAATTAACCGTTGCTTTTTTGCTTTCAGAGTCTCATCGAAATAGTATTCCATAGTTTATTGATCCTTTTAAGTATCTTAGGATTCTTCTTACAACCTTCATGCGTGACACCCTTGGTTCACTCATCTATCTTCTCACTAATCCGACTGTGAAATCTATATCAGATCGACTGTTGCACACATACCTTAGAGATCCCACGATTTGTTTGAACAAAGTTACATCGAATTTGTCTTCCTCTCCATTTTTTTCTAACTCCACATTTGGTTCGACATGTGAGGATGCGGGATTGAATAATCTATCATGAATCTCTTGAGTATCTCTTTGATATACTTCCTCTGATGTAGCACTATACCTTGCTTCAATATTTGAAAATCCATACCTAGGAAATAAGATAATTTTCCCAGACCTCACATTTCAAATTCTCACATCATCAACTCTTTAAACTTCGACAGGTTTTTCAAGCTATTCCCAGTTACCAACAAGTCATCGATATACAAGCAGATGATTGTTATATCTTGTGCTATAACCTAAACATAGACACCATACGTTGATTTTCCTTTGACAAATTCTAATTCGATTAAGTATGAGTCGATCTTATTGTTCCATGCCCTAGGTGCCTGCTTGAGACTATAGAGTGCTTTATGCAACTTATATACTTTACTCGCTTCCTTTTGAATCACAAATCCATAAGGTTGTGTGACATAGACCTCTTCGTCTAACGAACCATTCAGAAATGTTGATTTCACATCTAAATGAAATGTCGACCAGCCTTGATTACATGCCAATGCTACCACTTGTCGAACAGTCTCCAATCTTGCTACTGGAGAAAATACGTCAGAGTAGTCGAGTCCTTCTTGTGATTGGTGGGAATGAGAACTGACTGTTTTGGAATGCTGGTTCGCGTTTGCGTTTGTTTTTGCAAAATGTCGCGGTAAGCAAGAGTCGCCACCGTCTTTTATTTTATCCAACAAGGAAAGGACAAAAGCACAGAAAAATTCCTTTTCGAGATGTTTCTCGGGTTCGGGAGGTAGATTATAGAAAGGGAAGGTGTTAGCACCCTTTCTATCCGTGGTTATCCACGGGCTCTTAGGTACTTGCTCATCGTGTTTTCAAAAGTTTGCTTTTCTTTGTGTTTGTGGGTTTGAAAAGGGTTTTTGTTTTGAAGAGAGTGTAAGTGTGAAAAGTTTTGTTTTATTTTAAAAGGAGCAAGTACTTAAGAACCATCTACCTATTCAAAAAGGAATTAAACTATACAAGTGTCCTTTAGAGAATGCTATCCCACTATTGAGGAGCAGGTAGCACCGTCGTTGGACTTTTCGGGTCAATTCGATTAAGGGACATGTGGTCACTAAAGCAATGTTAGGACGCCTTAGCGGTAACCCTAATGTCTTAGATCATTTTATCCGAGGCAACCGTTTCGAGGCAACTTATGATCTTTGGACAAGAGGGCGACCTCTAAAACACCCTATACTCAATGACCACGTTCGAGGCAACCAAGTGAGGCGTACCCTAAGAGTGGCATGTGCGAGTGTATTGTTTTTCAGTTATATTATCTTTGTACATATTATGGTGAGCTACAGTTGATTTTAAATTAAAGGTTAATCTTGTCATGCATCGCCTATTTACTAGCAAGCATATAAAAGTAATAAAGCGCAGAAAGATAAAATCCTACACTATTACAACCATATTGAATTGCATGAAAATATAAGGGCAAAAATAAAATAAAAGCAAAAAAAAAAAGAGGGTCTTTCGATTGAGGCAGAAAACCCTTCTATTCTGCACTTTCTAGCTCTCTTCGATTTGGCCTGAAAAGGGTGAAGGCATGACTTTCGACTGAGGCCTCACGGTCAGCATATTGTGCCTTTCGATTGGGACTAGTGGGACAGCATGTTGTGCCTTTCGACTAGGCTTGGAATCTGTGCAAGATGTAATCTTCCTTTCTGCCTCCTTCGACTGGGCCTGAAGTCAGTGAGGAAGCCCGAGGCTTCATTTCATATTCCTGTCTCCTGTTTATTTCGTTTGAGATATTAAATAGCAACATGGCCTAAGGCCACGCTATCATTACCTCAGGGCCAGGTTAGTTCTTAAAGCATCTGTAACCATCCAAAGAACCAAACCAAAAGGAGAAGTAATAAAAACAAACTAAAGGGTGGAAACGAAAAGGTAACAAACACTACGTATATATTTGAAACGAAAAAGAAGCTTATTTACATGTTATGCTAGAAATGAAGGGTTCAAAGTTAAGAATGACTTACCTTGCTTGAGGCTGGAACGTGCGCTGGATCTT